CGCCTTTCCTGGATCTCACTCTGTAGACCAGGCTGGCCTCGAACTCACAGAGATCCGCCTGGCTCTGCCTCCCGAGTGCTGGGACTAAAGGCGTGCGCCGCCGCCGCCCGGCAAAGAACTTCTCTTTAAACTCAGAAGATGTGTCTTAGTCGTCTTGCTGCTTTGAGCAAACAGACAAAAAAAAAAAAACAAAAAAAAAAAACCTAAACTTAAGGAAGGAAACACTGGCTCTGACTTGCCATTTCCGTCCTGACAGAGAAGTGTGGTAACAGCTGGGGAAGGCATGGAGACAGAGGAATGAGCATCTGGTCACTCTGCACTCACAGTGTGGAAGTGGAGGGAAACGAGGGTCTCACCCATCTCCATTCCTCGTTCTTATTCAGCCAGGGTCCGGCCTATGGAATGGTACCACCTTCAAGTGGGCCTCCCCGTCTCACAGTTAACCCCTCACAGACGTGCTCAAAGGCTTGTCTTCTCAGTGGTTCTAGGTACTCTCAGGTTGGCTGGCAATCGATAATAACAGTGACAGGAAGCCACGTCAGGAAACAAATTTACACACCTATACCTTCTACCCCAGTAACCCAGAAAAAGGGGGACACTGTCAGCAATTCGGCACAATAACTCAATCAAATCTCCAAACAGTGTTGGCTACAGATTTCATCTGAAGCACTGTTAGCAGAGACGACACTGAAAGATGTTCCAAGCTGATAGGTAACTCTCGGGTTTGTGACAACTTCGCTTTAGGGAAGAAGCTTGGCAAGAAAAAGTAGAGGTAAGACGTTTCTTCAAATCCACTCAGTTATCAAAGTCAAAGCTGCAATTTTGACTTTTAAGCAAAAACAGACTCCAGATTTTAGACCATGTTTACCCAAGCCTATTCTAAAGTCCCTCTGGTCCAACATTTCACAAGAGCTTTAAGAATGAGAAAAAGAATGCACAGCAAGAAAAACTTCTACCCAAAGACTACAACCATTTAGCTAAGGGAGGCTGATTTAAAGCTACAGGAGGGGCCCTCTCTCTAGATCCCCAAGCAGGCTGGTGTCCCAAGGGCCCTGCAGCTGAAAGGCTTATACAGAAGACTCCGAGGGTCAGTGAATCTCCTTCTCCGCTTATCATGGTTGTCTGGGGTAAAGGGTCCAGATACGGAGAAAGCAGAGCTTGGGACTGCCATGTCGGACAAAATCCAAAGCCGGCCGAGAAATTTCCACCATGCCACACAGACAGTATTCTTCCATGTTAAGAGTCCCAGAAGAGGAGGTTACCAGCAGGCCTCCCTCCACCGCCTTGAATGAGGGCCACATGAGGGCTCCACTGAACAGAGGCCAACTAGAGACCAGATGGGTTGATGTTTAGAGCAGGCCTCACCACCTCTGTCACCTGTGAAAAGGGGTATTCAGGCAAAGGAGAGGACGTCCAACTAAGTCTGAGCTTCAGATAAACTGCAAAAGCATTTACTGTGCCTCAGGTATTGCGTGTAACATCATTATATTGACAGTGTATCTGTCCATCGGAAGGGAATATCCTGTGTGCTGCATGGCAGACAAGGGTGCTTTTGTTGGGCTGCTGCTCCGGGATTCTACCAAAAGAGTAGACAGTGAGTCGGGACCAAACCTAAGACCCTTCCATGCTGCGTCAGTCGAGGTTTGCTAGAGGAACAGAATCCATGGGAAATGCGCATAACTCAAAAGGGGGAGTATTAGATCCGTTTACACCTCAGGGCTTGGGTGAGTTGACAATGGTTCTGTACACCACAGGGCAGAGAACATGGTAGCTTCCCGATGCAAGAATTCAGACCCTTCGCGGTTGCAATCTGGCACTGAATACCCCGAGACTCCCTGGGGAGTAGCTGGTATTGGGGCTACATCGAAAGGCTGAAGACACTGGTATCTGACGACAGTGGCCACAGAGTACTCATTCAGAAAGCTAGGTGGCTTGCAAGCATCGTCTTCCTCCACCATCCTTCTGCCAGGCTATTGGTGTTAGGATATTGTGTGCTGGGGCCAGGGGCATCCCCGGCTGGCTGGGTCAGGGTATCCCACTCGAGCAGGGAAACATGCCAAGCAGATGCAGCGGCGGGAGGCAGAGTGTGAACAGTCAGTCACTCGCAGCAGCCAGGCACAGCATCCCTGTGGAAATAGGTTTATTATAACAGAGAGATGGAAGATGGCGGAGACAAGCAGACGCAGGTAGGCCTGTGGCAGTGGCCCGCGGAGGTAGACGGGCCCGGCGGCAGCGGCTGACAGGGACATTTAGGCCCGGTGGTAGCTGGCAGAGACATTCAGGCCCAGCGGCGGCCCACAGGGGTGGACAGGCCCTGCGGCAGAGATAAGCAGA